GAGTAAGAAGCAGTTAGACAAAGAACACACACAGAACTGTTCAACTTAAAGAGGAATTGGATAATCTGTGTGGTTACGGATGTGGAGAAATCAGAACCCTCATCTACCACTTGTGGGAACATAAAATGCTGCACTTGTTTTTAGAAAGCAATTTGGCAGTTCCTCAAAAAGTTAAACACAGGGTTACGATATGTACCAGCAACTCCACTCCTAAGTATATACCCAAGAGAACTGAAAACACATCCACATAAAATCTTGTATGTGAATGTTCACAACAGCACTATTCACAATCGCCAAAAAGTAGAAATATCCAAAATGTCCATCAACAGATGAATAAACAAAATGTGGTCCATCCACACAATGGAATATTACTTGACTTTAAAAAATGAAGCACTGACAAACGCTACAACATAGATAAACCTCAAAATCATTATGCCGAGTGAAAGCTCACAGATAACAAAGGTCACTTGTTGTTTGTGTCCATCTATATGAAATATGCAGAACAGGCAAATCCATGGAGACAGAAAGTGGATTAATGGTTGCCAGGGGCTGGGGGAGATGGGGTGGGGAGTGACTGCTAACGGGCACAGGGTTTACCCCTGAGGTGATGGAAATGTCCTGGAGTTAGAGAATGATGACAGTTGCACAATTTTGTAAATATACTAAAAGCCAATGGATTACACCCTTTCAAAGGTTAAATTTTATGGTATGTGACTCAGTTTTTTCAAAAAAGAAATTGTAACATATCTTTTTGTGAGACTAAAGGTTAAGTATGAGAGCTAGAACGTGAAAACAGTAGAAAAGCTAAGGCGACTCACCTGAGAAACTGCACCCCAAAGAGCCTTATTTCCCCTCAGAATAAAGGGTCTGTAAAAACACTCTCAGCCTGACACTTCCCAGCACACGGCCCTCATGGGGTGGGTCCCAAGATCCCAGTGCCCCCTCATACTCACCCACACCCATGGCACAGAGAATGCCTTGTCCTGCGGTACTCAGCTCTCCTCTTGGCCCCACGTGGGAGACAAGCCTGGGTTTGCATGGTGGAGCCCCTGCCCATAAAGAAAGACACATGTGCCGAGGGAGGGAGGGCTTCCCCTGCAGCCACCCAGCTTCCACCCAGACTTATGCTCATGACGTTGAAGTGAGTACAATGGTAGCAAAGTGATCATGCTTCAATTTCTAATAAACTCAGTGAAGCGCTTTTACAGGGGCCCAAACCACAAACACCTTCCTCTCTGCCCCACGGGGCTGAGGTTATCTAAACCCTGAAGTTCAATGCCAAGGTCAATAAGACCCGTGCAGGTCCTGACTATGGAGTCAATACAAGGGACAGAGCTCTATCCTGTGGAAACCTGTGAACCATCAACCCCACCAAGCCCACACCGCATTTCTGTGGTCACATGGCAGACGCTTAAGCATGTGGCACCTGCATAGAGAAAGGGCTGGAGTGGTGCCAGCCTTACCCCTGGGAGCCAGGGTACTGCAGTTGTCCAGTATTCCATATCTGCACAGGTTCCTCCGTGTACCATCCAGCAATGCCCACTCCTGGACAAGCCCCACTGCCACATCTTCGAAGGTGACTGATTCCTAAAACAGCACACATATTCTGACTCAGCAAGGACCACCCCCACCACTCTGCAGGATGACCACTGGCAAAGGGAAACCCAGTGCAAGAACATTCAGACAGGGAGCTCTCCCCACTCCAGGGCTCCGCAAAGCCTGCCCACCTACCACTTGTTTTTGTAAACAAAGTTTTACTGGCACGCAGCCACGCCCATTTGTGTACCTATCTCCACGGCTGTTTTTGTGTTGCAAAGGCAGAACTGGGCAGTTGCTGCAGTAGAGATCACATGGACTGCCAAGCCAAAAATATTTAACATTTGGATAAATCGAAAGCATAAGTTTTGGCTCTCCATCACTTCGCGAACCAATGAGGGCAGAGTCTGTATTTCTCAGCTTAGAGTTTTTCCTAAACTCCTTATTTAAGGCACCAAAAATTTAGGTTTGATCACTTAACTCTCATGCCGTCCTGAGGTCCCAAGACTTACATAAGCATGCAATAATCTTTTATGTCTGTTAGAAGAGGACTTCCGTTGCATCTGAAAACTTGTATGGCCTTGTAATTTCAGAATTCTCTAGAGCAGCGCTGTGCCATGGAGTTCCCTAAGATGACGGGAATGTCTTGTCTGCACTCGCCAAAGGGCAGCCACCACACATGTGGCCACTGAGCACTTAAGAAATGTGGCTCGGGTAACTGAAACTAAATTTTTTATTTTATTGGATTTTAATTAATTCAAATTTGAATTTCCACAGCCACATGTGTTTATGGTAGGTCTCACAAGGGAGAGCAAGAACGGCCCTGGAGGAGTTCTGCTGCCAGCTCCAAATGAGCCCCTCTCTGCAGTCAGACTCCAGAATTAGGCAGAGCCCCGAAGTCGCTGTGGGGACCCTCCTCCCAAGCCAGTTCCCTCCAGAGGTCATGCACTAAAAGAGGTCGCCAGGTCCCCGAAAGCAGAGCAGAAGATGCTCCATACTTCCCCTCCCCTTTCTTCCTCAGCTGATGGTGAGAGGAGAAGGGACAGGGCCCAGGGAACATAATTATCCCCACCACCACCACGACTCCCCCAACCCCTAGCTCACCCTGACACCGGGTCCAGGGTTTAAGGTCTCAGTAGGCATCCTCCCTGCAATAAAAGACAGACCAAGTATAAGAAGGCATGAGGGTGGAAGCAGAGCACCAAACAAGGGTTTGACCCAGGTATATCATTTCTGTGGGCCACCATCAGGGTGGCTGAGAAAAAAATCCTCACAGGGAATTTATCTCAATAAGCAGCACGCAGTCCCACGCATCTTTCACACCATGGTACCCGACCATTTCTATTACCTCTCTCACCTAATAAAAAGATCATTTCTCCTTACAGTCCCTCAAAATACCTATAACACCCTCTACTTTTCCTCCATTGCCCTTACCAAGTTGTGATTTTTATATTTATTTGTTTAGGTGACTTTGCCTCTCTCTTCCACCATGATGCAAACTAAGTATAGGCCTGTGTCCACTTTTTTCAGGACCCAAAATCCTGCCACCAGCACAGCGCAAAATGCATATTAAGTACTTTATATATTAGAGGTTGGCAAACTTTTTTCTGTAAAAGGCCATATAGTAAATATTTTAGAATTTATGGGCCATATAGACTCTACGTCAACTATTTAACTTTGGCTGTAGTGCACAAAAACAGCCACAGAGAATACATAAAAAAAATGTGTTCCAATAAACATGTTCCCAACAGAAACCGCACAGAGTCAGATTTGGCCAACAGGCCATAGTTTGCCAATACCTGCTCTCTATATCATGTAGGAGAAAGAATGAATCAATCACCGTATTCTCTCAGTTCTACCTCCTACACGGGTCTCAAACATTGCATCTTTTCCAATTCCACAATCACCCTAAAGACCCAACTACCACCCATACAATAGAATATTACGCAGCCACTAAAAAGAATGAACGGAGGTATACCAGATGCCTTAGACAGATGTCCATGAGATACCATTTGGTGAGAAGACATAGATACAGAAAAGTGTATAAATGACAGAGTTCCCCGTGTGAATGCACATGAGTATCTATGTCTATAAGTGTATATGTCTGATTAGGATTATATATATATACAGGAGGAAAAATGTGGACTAATATATACTAGGCTGTTAACACTGGTTCTGGGAGCTAATCCATGAGTTGAAAAAATAAAGGGAGAAAAAGATTCCAATAATTTAAACAAAACCATGTATATGATGGTATTAATACATTTATACATAATTATGTCTGTGAGTTGTTAAAAAATAATAATGATTTAGAAATAAACAAAAAAAGACCTAACTACCACCATCTGAGTCCTGAATTTATCCAAGTTCCTAGGTATGTGGACTCTGCATTCATTCTTGTCCATTCCAAACTCCATGCTCCATCCAGGAGCCGGTATCTAAATCACGAACAAAATCACGTCACTCCCCTACTTAAAACTCAGATTCAGTGGCTTTACAACAACCTTAGAACAACGTCCAAAGTTTATCATAACTTTCAGGCTGTGCCCTCCTCTCCAACCTGGCTCATCCACTCCACACTTTATTTCCTCCACTTTACCTCTCCCTGTCTTTCCTCTGCTTCTAGAACCCTTTTGTACTACTGCTTGAAGGATTATGCATCTGGAATGTTCTCTCAAATCTCCTCCCCACTCCTACTCCACTGCCGACCCCTTGTCTAGCTGTGCAGCTACATACAACTCATCTTTTAGGTTCAAATGTTTGTCCCTTTTCAGATATTTTTCCTGACCTCCTCCCCAAGTTCTCCTGGTTCCATGTTTCCATATCACCCTTGCCATGTTTAATTTAAAATCTGTCCTCTCAGAAAAAATAAAACCTCCACAGAGACGAGCATTGTGTCCACATTGAAAGCAATGCTTTCCCCTGTACAGGGCTCCGACCATCCAGGGCGCCTCCGATGAAATGTGCCAAACTATCAACCCTCCCCAAGAACAGTTGTACAGCTAGCCTAAGAAGGCACATGCTTACACACACAACCATACAAACACCACAAAAGTCAACATAAAAGTGACTTAAAATGCCTGTTCATATAACATAATCCACAACAGATTTCAGATGCCTTTAAGAAATGTTAATTCTCTCTAAAAGGACAAGGTGAGACATTATTCCTTTTGAAAACAAACATCTCACTTGTAAAATTGAAATCTGATGTTTAATTTTCCTCTAGAATTTTTTCATTTCTCAGTAGAGTGAACTTTAACTTTATTTAAAAAAAGAAGATCTCATTTATGGCCAATTCTGTGTCAATTCCCAGTAGTAACAAGGCTATGTCATCTTTTTCCTAGAGTCCCATATTTTGAAGCTTTGTGGTGATTTACAGGCTGTGGTAATGGAGCCCACGTGAAACGAACTGAGTAGTTTTACTTTTCCTTGATGAAGACTTGGGACTTAACTGAGCCTTTCTTAAGACACTCTCACCTAGCAGTGTAAAAAAAAAAAAAAAAAGATACTTGCAAAGTAAACATCGCAAATTAAAGGCTTTTTTAAAAATAAAGAAGAGAAGAGAAAGGAAAAGAAAAAGGCAACGAAAGCTAACAGGTCTTAAGCTTAGGATCTGCAAATCGTCAGTCACAAAAAAAAAAAAAGAAACCCTCCTGTTATCTAATTCATTCCTTGATAGAGAGTGCATTTTTTAAATTTACTTTGCAAGTCATTCAAACCAATTTGCACATGTAGACTCAGACCTAACTTTCCAATTGCAGAACTCGATAACATGAAATACCAAACTAAATAAAACGTGAATTGCTTATAAAGTTATCTTGCACGAAGGCGACAGGGTCGGGCCCCACAAGTCCGGAGGGGGCAGATTTTTTTTGGGAGAGGTGGGGATAGGTGAGGGCTGGGGCTGGCCGGCGTCACCATTCCTCAACTGCAAGACCTGGATTGTACTTCGTGATTTTCCTTCCGGTAGATGAATGATAGTCCCGTGTGCCCGGAGGGGGGTTACCTGAGGGCGAGAACCCCGCCGGGGAGGTGAGGCGCGGCTGCGGGGCCAAGGTGTGCCTGCCGCATCCGGCACGGAGCCACCGCGGGGAGGAAGCAACTCGACGGGGCAGGCTATCCTAGGCCGTCAGCCCCTCCCTACACTCCTTACCCTCCCCGCCCTCTCCAGGGGCCGAACCGGACCTGCAGACCCGCGAGAGATACTCCCTCTGCCGCACGCCGCGGGGCGCTTGGACTACTGCCCCTACAGCAGCCGCCTCCGCCGCCGCCGCCGCTGCTGCTGCCACCGCCTCCGCTCACTTCCGCTTCCGGTCTCCGGGACGCCGAGGGCGGAAGTGGTCGGGTTCCGCTTCTCCTGGTCGGGGAAATTTTAGGCAGTGACTGAAAGGGTGACTCCCAACGTCCAGCCTAGAAGGAGGAATTCTAGTTCCCTTCCCTGAGGGTTAGGCTTTGGGGTTGGGGGAAGGGACCTAGAGAGTAGGACTGGGGGGGCGGAGTCTCTGCCCGATGCACGGTCTGGAGTCGAGGCTTAGGTCCAATGAGCGAGAATTAGGGTGGGTCCTGGGCTTGGTTGGGGGGATGGGGTGGGGCCTCGCTGGCTCGTCGGGACCTCAGAATTTAACTCTCATTCCCCTTCTCTTTCTTCCACGTTTCTCCTTTGGTTTAATCAATTTCTCTACAAAACCATGTCTTAGGTAACATTTATTTTTCAGTCGATGATTTCTTTTAGAAGTAGGATTATATTCAGTCATGCGCGGCATAAGGACGCGTCAGTCAAAGAAGGACCTAGGGTACCATGATGGTCTCACAAGATTATAATGGACCTGTAAAATTCCTATGGCTTATGATGTAGTAGCAGTCCTAGTGTTGTAGAACAATACATTACTCAAATACTATTGTGTTACAATTGGCTACAGCAGTCGGTACAGTAACATGCTGTACAGGTTTATAGCCTGGAAGCAATCTGCTATACCATATATAGCCTAGATGTGTAGTAGGCTATACCATCTAGATTTGTGCAAGTGCACTCTATGATGGCCCCTAACACGCATTTCTCAGAAGGTATCCACGTCGTTAAGCAGAGCATGACTGTATCTCATTTCATCCTCAGCTTGCCTTTCTCACTAAAAATAAGATGTGAAAAATCAATTCAAGGCAGTAGATAGGAAATCTGACTCTTCTTAAAATTTATTTGTTATGTAATATAGATAATACAGGAAAAGTTCAAATGGGGGTCTCACTCCATCCCTAAGTTTTTCTTTCCAGAAACAACCACTATAACCTGTTCCCTGATGTTGTTTATATATCAAGCACATGCATATTATTTCTTCTAATAAATATCCATACATTATCGATTGATTGCTACATTTAGGTGCTAAGGTTACAAAGCCCCTTCTTGCAAGAAGGGAGATGGGTGACAGAGATGAGGTTGACCCATTCCACATTGTTGCATGTAGCCTATTAACAGAATCCTTATTTTTTAAAAAACTGACAGAGATAGGAAGAGATCAAAAAAATTGGCATAATTGGTTGAAAGTAGATCTTGAAGGATGAATATCAAGTCATGAAGAATGGTTAGTTCGGTGGGTAAGAAACATTGCAAGTTGAGGGTATTGTGTGAACAAAAACACAGAGGCATGGAGGGAGCACATGTTGTGGAAATAGATAAATAGATCAAAGAAACAAAACCAGTCAAAAGCAGATTCCAGCATGTATGAACAACCAGGATGTTACAGGTAGTATTTCAAGTCAATGGGGAAAGGAAGCTGTTAGGACAATTGGCTAAAGGATTAAGTTGTTAGATCCCTATTTCACATCATTCACAAAAATAATTCAAAAATTTAATTCCAAATAGATTGGATCAACACGACAAAGAACTTTAAGTTATTAGAAGAAAAACAAGTATTCCTAACAGATTTTGCTTTATATTTTTCAAAGGTATGGTAGTAGTTGCATAGCACGATGGTTAAGAGTCCTGGTTTTTGGTACTTACCACTCAGTAACTGTCACCTGTCTAACTTCTCTGTGAGTCAGTTTCCTAAACTGTCGAACGGGAGCAATAATGAGATTGTGCTTAAGATTGGATGATATAATGCTTGTACGCAAAGCGCTTACCATGGTGCCTGACATGTAATAAGTGCTCAGTAAATACTGGCTATTATCATTACTGTTTTTTATGAAGTCACTTTATATCGATATTATATCTCCTCTCTCCCCTTTTTAAATTTGGCCTTTACTTTCATTTAATGTGTTTCTAATATTACCATACCAGCTTCTTGTTCTTCTTATCTGATATGTCTCTTATTTTCAGCTTCTTTGCCATTGTCTTAAGTGATTTTTTTTTAAAACAGTACATAACTGGATTTTGTTTTTTAAGGAAGTCCAAAAGTAACTATCTTCTAATAGGATACTCTAATCCACTTACATTTAATGTGATTATTGATGTTTAATGTATTTCAGCCCCTTATTTTACATTTATCTTATGTTTTCTATTTATCATGTTTATTTGTTGTACATTGAGCCAGGACTTTTTATTCTTATTCTCAATTTGCTCCATCTTTTCTTCAGTATGTTAATTTAAAGACAAATGTTAATAAAGTGTGGTCAAATTAATTTAAGATTATTGTTTGGTGTTTATCAATTAGTTGGTACTGGTTATCATTTTGTCTTTTTGCCTTTATTTTGTCTTATTACTCAAATCATCCATATTACTTATACAAATATTGTGAAGTATGAAAATATCAAGAAATAGGAAAATAATTGCTTTATATTCTACACGTTCCAAATTTTTACTATGATCTACCCAGTAGGTTTGTTTAATATAGAAATTCATGTCTTTCAGCTAGTGATAATTGTTTTATATTTTCTTGAATAATAGTCTTCTGTTATTTTTCTTTCTTTCTTTCTAAAATTTCTCAAACTCTTTTTCATCTCCTTTCTTGCAAATTGTCACCACTTTATACCTAATCCTTCTATTGAATTTTCATGTTGGATACCATTATTTTCATTTCTTAAAGCTCTTTCTTATTCTCTGAGGGTTCTTTTTTATTGCAACTATTCTTGTTTCATCTTTTCGAAGATACAAATGAAAAGTATTTCTAAGAGTTCTACTTGTTCCCAGATATTATTTTAGGACAGTTATGAAATCTCCCTAACACTGTTAAGGGTGGAAAATTTTCAAGTGAGCAAACTAGCTAAGTCAGCTACAGGGAAGAAATATCTTTAGATATCAGAAGTTGTCCTACTTGCTTGTGTGTGGTTTAGGAAGTGTATTGTATAAAATATGTAGATGGCCAATGTCTGCTTCTGTAATCCATTTACTTGTTAATTAAGGGTGTTGTTCCGGGCAAAGATATGCTAAAAGCCAACTTCCACTTCTGTAATCTGCTGGCTTGTTCAGGAGACCACCAGGATATGGTCTTGAGCTTTATCAGCTGCCTGCTCTGAAAGCTCGGGGCTGATCTTCTCTAGCCCTGCGTGGTAGAGAGTCAGTCGCCGGCGGGCTAAAAAAGGCTCATAATTAATCTCAATTGGCTCCGTGGGTCTCAGAATCGTTCACGCCATAACAACACTAAACAGTATCACTATTGTGAATCTACTGAGGCTGTGAATTTAACCGAAGCTGTAATTCTCCTACCTGAAAGATAAAATTTTGAGGTTAGTTTTAGATCATTTTATCCTTGAGGCTATGAGAAATAAGACATTCTTTTAGTGAAGTAATAAAAAGTCCCTGATTCCCCAACAAGTGGCTTGAGCAAATATTTTAGGACTTTCAGCTTGTCATTTTTTTTTTTAAGCTCCCCATCAGTATAGAAGCAACCAACTGGCCCTGTAGTCCTAAAGGCAGTGAAAATCCAGTTGGCACTAAAAGATGGGGCACTAATAGCAGTAAAACAGTTAAATAATGACCTCTGGTCATCTGGAATGAGTGTCCATTGAAAGCTGTGGGGCAAGTGGCCTCTGGCATTCAAGAGCAAGAGCATGTGCATTTCCAACCTGAGTCTAGTGCATGAGTGTTAAGGATAGGAACCAACATAAGACAGTGAACAGATTGTTCGTGGAAGTCAACGGTAGCAAAGACAGCTGTCTGGCAGTAAGAGAAGAGTCTGAGATGGAGGGAACGAAAAACGGTGGATAGGTGCCACGTCCAGCAAGTGGTAAATCCTGCCATGTCCAGCGCAACCCTAGAAAATAATCCTGAGAGGGAACAGTGAGAGATTGAGAAAAGAAAGAAGACAGAAAACTGGGATCAGGAGGCCCACTATCTGCTGATGATGGAGTAGAGAGCAGATTTTATTTTTGCAAGTTGCTTTCATACAAGAGCATACATTTGCTGGCTAAAATGAGATTATCCCCATCCAACCTCCACATCCTACTATAATCATTTGCATTTCCATAGGGTAACTCCCACCCTACACACCCTGCTATAATCATTTGCATTTCAACATCTGCATTGTTCTCCAGTCAGTTCCTACTTCCCATTCTTAGGAGGATTTGTGAAGGTGAGGCAACTCTTGGTTGGCCTCACAGATTGCAAGGACCTAGTCAGTTTACAACCTGCTCTCCATAGATGGGTGAGTAGATAGATGGATGGATGGATGGATGGATGGAAAGAAGTGTGGGTGGGTAGGTGGGTAGGTGGGTGGGTGGGTAGGTGGATTGATAGATAGAAAGAAGGGTGTCTATGAGACATGTCTGCAAGAGACTCTTAGAAATAACTGAAGAAATTTTGAGGGTCTGATTTTCAGCATGAAAGCCCCTGCAGTTTTAAGCTGTAATAACATGGTCATTAAATAAATAGATAGATAGATAGATAGATAGATAGATAGATAGATAGATAGATAGATAGATAGTTATAATCTCATTTTGTCATCACAGGCAAAAGGCTAGGGACATTTGGTTTAGTTTATACTTGTATGCTCTACTAAGTAGTGTGAGGGTGGTAGATGGCCAGCAATGGCTTCTGGTTCTTTTTTGAGTACTTTTAATAAATACCACATCATCATACTCTTGAGGGACCAGAGAACAATAGGGTGCAGAGCTGGGTTCTCAGACTTGAGCATGCATCAGAATCACCTGTTGGTGAATCACAGAATCACAACTTGCTGGGCCCACCCCAGAGACTCATCAAATCTGGGGCAGGGCTCGAGAACCTGAATTTCTAACAAGTTCCCGGGGATGCTGATGCTGCTGGTCGGGTGACCATTATCTTGAGAACTACTGATCTAGAAAAACATGGACATTGATACTTCTGTGTAATTTTGAAGATTTGAAATGTAAAGAAGTTTCAAGAATATCTTAACCAATTTATTTTTCACTTCTATTTTCCTTTTAATCCAATCAAAAGAATGATATGATTTAAAAAATTATTTCTAAATAAATTTACAATATCTCATTCAATAAGAATAAAATAAAAGTTCTAAAGAATAAGAAAGCATTGTATCATAACTGTTAGAGTTCGTGGTACATAAAATAATGGTGTACATTAAAATTGATGATGCCTTAGATTTGATTAAATATGATATGAATAGAGAAGGAAGGTGCTAACTCCATCTTAGGGGGAGGGAAGGAGACCCAGAGTGGGGATCTGTGGGATCTACCTTAAGGATTAAGGAAGGATACACAAAAGAATGCACACTTGAAGAGCTTGGCCAGGGGCAGAGCAGTGGAGAAAAGGGGGCAATTCCAGGCAGAGGGGACCACACATGCAAAGTCCTGGAGGCTGGAAAAAGCAAGAAGCTAAGGGCAGGTGGGCAGCCTGAGGGAGAAAGGTGGGAGATGAAGCTTGAGAGGCGGACTGGGGTCAGATCAGGTGGACTTTATGTGTCTACTAAGCTCATTTAGCCTGCGAAGTATCCATGAGGCTGTGAGATGGGTGTGATGCACTCAGATTCATGTTTCAGAAAGCTCTTCTGACTGTAGAATGGGAGGATGGAACAGAAAGACACCAGTTAGGAGACTGTCGAAATTACCCCAGATCAGAGAAGTTGAATAATTTTCCCCTAAGTATCACAATACATTAAGAGGCAGAGTCAAGATTTGAACCTCCACAGTATGGCTCTAGAGTTAACATGCTGTAATAGTTCTGGCCTGACCATCAGGTGGCACCACCTGTCTTTCTTGATCAGCTCTTACCTCCAGCTATCACCCCAACAGTGTTCCAGCCTCAGTTTCTATTTATAAGGGTGACATGGAAAAGAATATTGCTGGATGCACAGCTGAATGTGGACGCAGCAAACACCAAGAGTCCTCACTGTGACAGTCCTCCTTGCCCACAGACCCCACAAGATACTAATAGAGCTTCTAAAACAGGTATCTATAGCATTGGAGAAAAAAGCAGATCTCTGAGGAAGATTATATTGAGAGAAAGAAAGAAGTCAAAAGCATCTTAAAGAAAAACTCAGACTGGATATGGAATTGCCACCTACACACACACACACACACACACACACACACACACACACAGGGGTGTTCCTGTTCAAGCACCCGAAGAGCATCCGCCACACTCAGCATGAGGAACATGAGTGTCATGAAGAATTTAGAGCAGAGCTTGCAACACAGCCCGCTGAAGAGCTGTCTTGGTCCTTGGCTGCAGAATCACTTGTGTTTATTTGTTCTGCAGGTGCTGCATTCCTAATTTAGTGAGATGAAGGGCTTGGCACCAAAACCATGCTAAACTATAATCATACCTTTTGGATCCATTAATAAACATGTCATATTAATATCCACTGTAATAATTTGGTAGTAAATTTTTTTTGGATGTTATAAGTATCTAAGTATAATTTTACCATGCTAGTCATGACGTATATAGTATTTCAACCAAAATTATCTGTAACTTTAATCAGTTAAAACACTTCATATTTCAAAAGAATGAATAATGTTGATATTAAAATGACTACATAAGGGTTTATCCCAAATCAATATCATGGCCTTATATTCCTACACTCTTGTAGGACATACAGTAAATGGGTGTAGGTTGCCTACGAAAGACTCACTTTACTGCTAGTTGTTCTTAGTGATATTGTAAATACAATCCAGGGTACAATGCAGGCCCCCTGTACATAGCAGACACTTGCCTGCTTGGTGTTGCAGGGTGACAACTGTTAGTGACCACCTTGGATGATGAGGCTGACACCTGCTGCGCATCTTCCTTGTTTCCCACTCTAAATTGCTGAATTCAGGCTCATCATCCGTGTTCAATTTTTACGTGTTCTTAGAATCAGCTTCATTCTAAGCAAATCTGCATCTACTTTAAAAGACTGGAAATAGGAAAAATAAATCTTTGACAAATCTGATAACTGTATTTACATGTGGTTTGAAACAAAACGTCATAAAAGTTTTTTATTAAACCAAGTATATTCCCCACTGTCGAGTTTTTTATTTTTTCTGCAGCATGATTTTTTGATATACTGTTTATATGCTACTATGTATTTGTTTCACTTTTCCACACTAAATTCAGTCCTGTTAAAACAAGTGTAACATTTTAATTTTCAGAAAAAGCAGAACCATGGTCTGATGGTGAAAGATAAGAAGTTCACTTTTCTGAGAACCATTTCTTAAGTCAGCAGACCTAAGGCACTTATATCAATTCTCATAAGATTTCCTTGAGCTAGGAAAAGCACAGTAGAGACCTTCAAGAACTGGCTAACAAGGGTTACCGACACGCAAGAATGCGAGAGCCATCACTTCTTCCAGGTATGTGTAACCTTGACAATCACCGTTCCTTGACCTGCTCCCTATCATGAACTACTTGGTTCAACGACTGGCTGTCTTGTCCTTCTCTTTCCTCTGCTCTGCTTTGAACACTCTTTTCTTTTCCTCTTGGACATGGTTTCCTTCCTTACCACCCTATTCAGACTATACTCTCAAATATCCCTAAAATTTTCCATATGGTCCAATCCGATGAGTTGTTCATCTTCTTCACATGTTTTGTTTTCTTATTAATATCCTCTCCTCCGTGATAACTTCTGTGACCTAGGTCTACCCTGACTTTTCTCTGCCTCTTTTGCTATTTTCTCCCTCATCCACTCCTTTTCTTGTAACAAGAATATTACTAATAATAACAACCAACATTTCTGAGAACTCGCTATGTACCTTATATGTATTAACCCATTTAATCCTCATACTAGGCCCCTGAGGTAAGTACTATTATTATACCCATCTTACAATTTAGAAAACTGGAGCCAGAGAGATTGTGTTATATATCCAAAGTCACACAGCTTTTAAAAGGCAGAGCCAGGGTTCAACCCAAGTCACCTAGCTCCAGATCTTTGCTATAATGCTCTTTCCACAGGATTCTGCCTGGGGTCTTCTCTTTTTCTACACCCTCTCCCTTGAGAGATCTAATGATTCCATGGCTTCAACCACCACTTCTATGCAGATGGTTCTCCAACTCTGAAATACACTTGATCCTTCTGGTTCCAGATTAAATAACTATCAACGGCCACAATATTGACCAAAGCTTACATTTATCAAGCATCCACTTTAGCCTGGCATCAAGCTAAAATTGTTTTGCACTCATTATCACACAGCATCTCCACATTACAGATGGAAAATGGCATCACGAAGAGGTTATGTGACTTACTCAAAGTCTCACACTTATTTAGTTGCACAGGGAGCGATACAACATAAATTCTATCAAAATAATAGAAGCTACTTGAAGGCAAAGGCCATGTCCCCTCACCTTTGCATCCCCTTTCATGACATCTTACATAGAAGAGGTGTCCAGTATATATCTGTGGAATCAAATTTAAGTGACCGCTGGAGTGATGTGAAATCCCACGTCACCCTAGCAGCATGGAGGAGGAGGAGGATAGTGGACGGTGGCGTTGGGTGTTGTTCCTCAGTTCTTCCTCGCCAATGCAGCAAAGAATTACAGGTTGGTGAGATTTAGAAAAAGTAAGATTTATTGAAAGTACATTTTAGAAGGAGACCAGCTGCTAAGGAAGGCTGCAGCCCTGTGGAATTCAGAAGGTAAAGAGATAAAATAGTCTACCCCAAAGGGAGGGGCAGGTTTCCAGCCTGGAGAGCTGTAACCACACAGAAATAGGAGTCTGTTTATATTTGGGCTATGACAGGAGGTCCTAGATGGTCCATTTGTGAGGTCACCTTAACGGACAGTTGGCTGCTATATAACTTTTTGTCTACTGCATATGTGCTTACCCAGAATTGAGTCTGTTATAATTAGATTCATGAACTTCCAGGCATAGTCATGCTATTATAATGATGGTATAATGAGGCTGAAGTTATAGGCAGCACTTTCTGCACATACGTTTATAGCTGGTTTAGCCAGCAGCTTTTATGGGCTTTATGCTCTAGGATTTGGGGTAATTTATAACCCTAAAAGGGAGTTATTTCTGGGAGATGACTAAGGAAGGCCTTCAAGGGAAGTTTCTGTGGTTACAGAGCTGGGCCTTCGCTCCTGTTGCTCATGCCTGACTACCTAACAAGTGAGAGTGTGTAACTATTTTTATTAAATTTATGAGGGTGACATTGGTTAATAAAATTACATAGATTTCAAGAGTAAAAGTCAATAATACATCATCTGTATATTTCATTGTGTGTTCACCACCCAAAGTCAAATCTTCCATCACCATATGTTTAATCACCTTCCTCGCTGGTAACCACGGAACTGTTGTCCCTATCCATGAGTCTCTGTCTAATTCATTTGTTGCTTTCAGATGTATATCCCATACATGAGTGAAATCATATTAATGTAGGGAGGAGGCAAGAGAATTAAAATGTTAATAAAGCTATATTAAGAGACTGCAATGTGCGGCCAGGCCAGGAGGACACCTTCAGAACAAAGGATGATTTCTGCTGGAATTGCTAACAACCCATTCCCCATACCTGTGAAGGGGAAACAAGAACAAAGAGCCATTCCCTATGGCTAAAACCATGGGGAACCAAGGGAGTAAAGGCTAGGAACTGCCAGCAGGCCTTTTGCTCTACATATTCTTACCTTTTTACTGCTACACACTCTTCCCCTTCTCCACTGTATGTCCATATCAAAGGAAACGGGAACTAAAGAATGACATATACTGAATTCTCTGAACACTCAGGGTCCCTCTTGGTGCCTTTACTCTCTCTCTGTTTCTCTCACGTCTCTTACTCTCTGCCTCTGAGAGGAAACCATAGTCTGTGGGATGTTACCCTTTTCTAATAAACTTCCCTTTTGACTCCAACTTTGGCGTGTGTGTTGAATTCTTTCTACACTCTCCGCCAAAGGACCCTCTTCTTCTCTCAGTGCAAGGCTTGGTCTCCCCCCTATTTGGGGAAATTTGCCTTGTCCTGCGTCAATATGATTCTTAACTTTTTCTATCTGACTTATTTCACTTAGCATGATTCTCTCAAGATCCATCCATGTTGTCGCAAATGGCAATATTTCACTTTTCTTATGGCCGAGTATACATTGTGTATATACATTTACCTGTAAAGATATATGCACCCCGATGTTCATTGTCACATTATACATGGTGGCCAAGATATGGAAACAACCAAAATGTCCTTCGATAATGATCAGATAAAGAAGATGTGGTATATATACAAGAGAGTGTGCAATTTAAATGAGAGAAGCCCAAACAAGATGTTTCCTGCTTCGGGGCAACTGGAAGGAGAGTCCTGGACACATCTGAGATGGATTATTTGTGAATTTCAGTTGTCCATGAACTCTCTGCCCTCGTTAATGGATGTAACAGGCAGTGTAATAGAATGAGCAACAGGTCAATAAGAATAGGATTCTCATGCAAATAAAATGGTAATAGCAGCAGCTAGCATTTATGGAGTGATCTCTGAGAGATACTGTGCTTTATGCACTTCCTCTTTTAGTTCATCACCCCAAACCCAGGAGATAAGCAATGATGTTGTCACCACATTTCATATAAGGAAACCTAAAGAAGTTAAGCAACTTGCCCAAATTTGCACAACTGGTATCTAAGCAAACTGAAACTGAGGAACTATTTCCTCCTCAACAAAAAGAGTCAGCAGGTAATTTCTAAAGTCTCTTAGAACCTGTGGTTCCAGCATGCTGATGACTCATAATACTGAGCACGGGGTTGCTGGCTGGGCTGGAAGGAGACCCTGAAGACTAACCTTGAGGAAATGTTACAGTACCCAGATGGCTGAGTTTTAGGAACCGGAAAACACTTCAGCCATATGTTTTACTAGTTGGGAGCTGGTTCTGGGCCATGATTATTGACAAACGGTGTGGAAGCATTTCACTATGAACAACCAATAAGGCTCTTTTATTATGCACTGGTTGAAATTTAGCTCTGGTGACTAGTAACCTTATTTGCAATTTTGGTTACTCCCTAAGAAAGTGGGCCCTGCCAATGAATGGATAAAGAAAGTGTGGTATATACATACAATGGAATCTTTCCTCTACTGCCATTTGTGACAACATGGATGAACCTAGAGGATACAATGCTAAGTGAAATAAGCCAGACCAGAAGGACAAACACTGCATGATTCCACTTAGATAGAAGTATTTAAAGTAGTCAAACTCATAAAAGCAGAAAATAAAGTGTGGGTGCCGGGGATGGAGGAGGGGGAAATGAGGAGTTGTTTTTCTATGGGTATAAAGTTTGTATTACACAAGATGAATAAGTTTTAGAGATGCACTGTAAAACATAGCACCTATAGTTAACAATACAGCATTGTGCACTTCAAAATATGTTAAAAGGTTAGATTTCATGGTAAGTATTCTTACCAAAAGAAAAAAGAAAAACACAAAAGAACATAAGGAAATCTTTGTAAGCATTGGATATGTTTTAGTACCTTGATTGTGGTGATGGTATCATGGGTATATGGCATATGCATATGTCCAAACTCATGAAGATGTATATGTTAAATGTGTGTAATTTTTTGTATATCAATTATACCTAAACAAAGATTTTAAAAAGTGGGTCCCGGTAATGTTATCAGAGAGTGGGGTCCTCTCCTGGCACGTTGTCCATGTTCTTGATGTCTCGAACAAAAAAACTGAGCAAGACACCGAAATATAGTAGAAAATAAAAGTTTTATTAGAAAGGAAAGTCCGCTTCCAGAAGTGAAAGCGGGCTTGAGCAAGAGAAGCGGGACTTAAAAGGCCTGGTAACAAAGACTTCGGGGTTTTTATCCCTTTTTTGCTGTGAGTGGTTACTTACCTTAGAGGAGTAGGCTTCTTGATTGACAACTAAGATTGACAGGACACAGTGATTCACCATTTTGCTTTCTGCACATGTTTGTTCCCAGAATTCAGTCCGTTATAATGATATTAATGAACTTCCAGACATATGCATCATATTATAATGAAGGTATAATGAGACTCAGGTGAGTTGAAGGTCCTTGGGATCTTCACTGTGCAGGTGCGAGTGACTGGCTTAAACTGGTACCTAAATCTCTGCCTATTGGTTTCTTTGTGTGAGTTAAAAAAAAAAAATGCCTTCTGGCTTGCTTAATTGTGGGCATACTAGGGCAGACCCCTTCTAGGATAGGATGACCTCAGTGACTTTGCAGGCAGACCCAAAACCCCCTTACTAATCTGCCTACTTCTTTTCTAAGAGCC